ACAGCATGGTTTGATCACTCCATCCCTTCTCCCCAGCTTTCTGATCCTAGACACTTACTCACCTTCCAACCATGTGAGGCAATTAAAGAGATTAGCTCTCAATCAAGGCTGAGTCATCCTTCAGCTTCCTGCCCAGGGTCAGAGTGGGAGAGCGCTTACAGAAATCTCTCTTCAATGGTACAAAAAGTGCTCTCAAGTGTTGTTTTTTTTTTTTTTTTTTATGCTAGTAGCGGGTTAACAAATCCATACAGGGAGATCTGGCTCCCTTTCTTGTTTTCAATTGCTCCCTTTGCTTTTAGTGATGATGGGGTCTTCCTAGTCCCCATGAGGTGGCCATGATCAGGAAAGAGACCCTATGCAGGTGGGCTGCAACCAGCCTGCCTCACTACTAGCAGACCCTGCCACCAAGTGGTGGTCACAAGCCCCAGAAGCTCCCAGAAGCTCCACCTTCACTATGGGGCTTCCCCAAGCCAATAATTTCAGCACATGCTTTGCTCAGATCCACATGCTGAACCAAACTTTTTTACTTTGTGAAACTTGTATGTTGTGCTTTCTTTCCATTGGGTAAATGGCAGAGGCAGTAAGTAACAGGTGGGATTGGATTTTAATGTTCCTGACTGTGCTGTGTTTTAGTCTACCATCCCCCCTCTTTCCTTCCCCTCATCAGGAAATTGAAGGAGCCTGAGCAAGGGTCTGTGGTCACCACGCCCAGGCAGAACTGGACTCCTCAGGAGCTTCTCATTCAAAGCACCCAGGGCCTTCGGGATCACCTGGAGGCCTGGTTCAGACAGAAGCCCTGAGGTATGCTTCTGACAGGCTTGGGGTCAAACCTGAGTGCAGTTTGTTCCTGCTTAGCAGCTGTGTGGCCTGTAGGGCAAAGGGAGTGATGGCTGGTGAAGGAATTCAGGCACTTGGAGTAGAGAGAAGAACTCAAGTGACCTAGCACAGTTGCCATTTGGTTCTGTCCAGGCAACTATATTTCTCAATTTCTTTTTCTTTGATGAATTAGCCTTATATCTAGAAGTTTTTCTCTCATGGAAATAATCTTTCATATTTAGAACAGGCACTCAGTCTTGTGCTCCCCCCCCCCATTGATTAGAATGCAGTACTTTTCCTTCTTATTCTGGATTCACCCAATACCCCTTTACTCCTAAGTGAAAGCAAATATTTACTGGAGACCTACTGTGTGCTAAGCACTATGCTGTTGGTCCTGAGTAGCTCGCATGGATGACCTCCAAAGACCTCCTGAATAATTCTTTAAACTATATGCTAATTAGATCATAATTAACTCATTACAAATTAGCAAATCCAGGAGCTAGGGAGCTTCAGGGCTTACCTGAGGTCACAGATCAAGTCACAGGCAGGATGGGTACTCAGGTCCAGGCCTAAAGTCCTGAATCAAGCTATTCACTCAGAGGTCGTGCTTACTTCCTCTGCTGAGTTAGAAATCATTCATTTAAAAAGATTATCACAGCTCATCTTTTAGCGAGTGATCCGTTCACACAGCACACATTTGCTAGGTACAAACTATGTACCATATACTACAGTTAAATCCTAGGAATAAAATGATGTCCAAAATAGAGCTTTTCAAAGAATATTCCTTCTAGGTTGTCTCATAAAAATTTATTTTTAAATAGTTTCTACTTTGAATTGTTCACACAAGTACATGTTATTAAACCCAGAAACTGTCACACCCTCCTCTGTGTCCAGCAAACCTCCCCTGGCTTTGTGTCAGTCTCATTCTAACCAAGTTGCTTCTTTCTTTAAATGAGCATGTGTTGCTTTTAGTTTTAAAATGTGTGTTTTCTTTTAAATGAATCGCACATTTGGGTAGCTTGAATGTCACAGGAAACAAATAAAAATAAATACAATAAAAAAGTTTCCTTTCTGCAGCCATGCTGTCACCCAGACCCCCAAGCAGGGCTAGAAGCAGATACTGTTTCTCCTCTCTTTGTTCGTGAACACAAATGATTGGTTACAGTATATGACATGTTCTCTACTTTTATTTTCTTTGGGTGATACATCTTGGAAATCATGCAAATCAGTGAGTATATTTACCACCTCTTCAACAGCTACATTCGTCAATAATTTGAAAATGTACCACAGCAGATTTAATGAGGCCCCTGTTGATAAACACATGGTCCGGCCTGTTATTTTGCTATTACAAACAATTCTGCAGTCACTATTCTTGTGTGTACATCATTTTACATAGGAACGAGTATACACAAAGTAGTTTCCTGTGAGAGGAAATGCTGGGAATGGCCATTGATTGTGTGCATTTTTAATTTGAAAACACGTTCATTGTGAGATTTTTTTTAAGCTTTACAAAAGGAGAGAGAGGGATATGACTTCTCCAGTCCTCCCCACAAGCTTCAGCTGTTAACACATCCGCAGCTGACTATTTCACATATACATTTCCACTTCCTCTGCCTCAGCTCGTTTTTTTTAATATTGTATTTATTATTTCTACTTTATGTGTATGAGTATATTGCCTGCATGTATGAAAGTGCACCTGTGCCATGAAATGCCGGCAGAGGCCGGAAGAGGGCATCGGATCCCCTGGAACTGGAGTTAGCTGCCATATGAGTGCTGGGAACCAAACTCAGGTCCTCTGCAAGAGCAGTCAGTGCTCTTAACCACTGAGCCATCTCTCCAGCCCACTCAATTTATTTTGAATCACCAGACATAATGTTATTTCATGGTCAATACTTTGGGAGTGTTTTTGAAGAGAAGTTCTAAAAGGGGGAAAATAGTGCGTGTGCAATTTCATATAAAATAAACAAATAGCTTATTAATATTTTTAAATAGCCTGTCAATGTCAAAATTTCTCAGATAAAAAGATAAAATTTTCTTTTTAAAGTAGTTTATTCTTTGATAAAAATCCAAAAGAGGTCCGCACATTGTGTTTGATTGTTGTTTTTTTTTAATTCGTTGGCTTTTCCCTCTGTCTTTTTTCTCAGACTTACTGTAGAAATGGGGCAAGTCTCTTTTGATGGACTGGGTTTTCCTAACTATGTCACTGTCAAGTTATTTAAATTTTCTTTAATTTAAAAGGAAAACAAAAGCAAATTGAAGAGGGTCATAATAAAGAAAACATCACAGAATCTCCATGGCACAGATGCAGCAGTTATTAGAAGAAAAATTGCATGACTAAATAATGCTGTCAATTAAAACAAAATTAAATACACAACTCAGAAAACAACACAAGTAAAACAAAAGAAGGCAAGAATAAGATAAATGTAGAATTAATGCATCATTATTTTGTGAACCTGTTGTTTTTTTTAAAAAAAAAAAAAAACAAGTTTAAGACTTACCATCTGAGAACATCTTGCAATTCATAGCTATTATATAGAGAAAGTACATTTAAGTAGTTTCAGAGAGATTAGTCTGTCTACATACACTTTGTTTTGAATTTCATGGTGTGACCTACCTTGACCATCTGTGGGAATTGTTTGGTATCCCACACCTAGAAGGTGGGGTCAGAATTGGTATGGATTCAGCTTGGCTTCCATCTGTGGCTAGTCCTAGGAGTAACCCCAAGAGACTGAAAGGAGATGAGAATTTCTGGTCCTTTAAGGTACATGTATGGCCTTGCTATCTGAAAGACTCCAGTGCAAATCTCAGCTAATATAGTAACCATTCACCCAACCTAGAGCCAATTCCTCTGAGTTGAAATTTCCTCATGATATAATTGGGGCAACTACCTTCACCTAAAGTGGGTGAGGATGGTGGGAGAGACCAGATACAGCTAGTGCTGGGTAAGTGATAGCTAACATGATGTTCTGGGACTCCACTGTGGAGACCCAAGGGTGGCACCAGAGAGGAAATATTAAGTAGAAGAAAGCCCTCAAACAGCTCTTTGTACCTCACCTGGAGACTGTGTGACCCTTGAAAAATGAAAATGCCATACCTGCCCACAAAATTTCTACTGCTGTGATGGTTCAACTTCATTGTCCATTTGACTGGATTTGGAATTATCTAAGAGACACTCCCATGAGCAAGTCTTTGAGGGTGGTTCCAGAGAGGTTTACTGAGAAGGGAAGACTGTCCCCGAAGGTGGGCAGCACCATCTTATGAACTGGGTCTTAGACTGAATAAAAAGGTAAAAGGAGAAAGTAAGCTGAGCCACAGATCTTCTCTGTCTCTACTTCCTGACTGAGGTACCGTGTGACTGGCCACTTCACCCTCTCGCAGCCTCTGTGATTTGCACCCAAATCCTTCTTCCCTTAAGTGGCTTCTGTCCCTACATTGTCACAGCAACCAGGGAAGTCACTAACCCAGGCCCTCTTTGCCTCTCCACATGTTCTTCTTCCATCATGTCTGCATGTGAACCCACCACCGGAGAAGCTCATCATGGAGGCGCCTTTCTCCGGGCACTGGGCTATCGGTGCCCCACAACCATGTTGAACAGTGCCCCCTGCCCCTATCAAGGGCCAGCTCTGCACAGAGGGCTTTGATCGTCAAAGATCTGAAGCCACTGACTGCCCAACCTCCCTCTGGCCTTTGATGTCAGACATAGGCCCTTCTCTCAGTTCCTTCCCTAGAAGAACAGAACCTTGAGCGATTCTTTTAGATCATCGTTTGTGTCATTCCACGTTGGAGAGGTGTCAGCAGGGTAAGGCCCAGTAGCCCACGGTGCAAGAGCATGCCACAGCTTGCCTTCCCAAATCTGCAAATGGCCCATCCACCCTCGCACCAGGCTGTGGCCAGGCGCGGGTGCTGGGAACAGAAAGGAGGGTCCTGGAGCCGTACCACTGCCATTCTGTCCTGCGGGGCCCTGGGCAGCAGTGACCACAGCCCCTGGCGCTCCACCGCACCCACCCGGAGCCCACGCCCGGACGCGGCGCGTGTGGACCGGGTGAGCCAAACACCTGGGAATCGAGGAAGAGCGTTGAGCCAAACAAAGGGTCCTCGGCGGCTGC